CAATTTTGCCTGACGAAGCGAATGTCGTCCGCACGTCGTAAACGCCGCCCACACCACAAGAACAGACTGCCATTAAGTTTCGAGTGTACTCGTTCGTAATAAATAGTTGTAATTGACCGGGACTAAGCCGATCTGAGAGAGCGAATGAGGGAAATGAGAGATATGAATGCGTGGCTGAGTGCGTTGCGTGATTTAGTGGCGGATTTACTGACACAAATGGGCTCATTTGTCACTCTTAAACTCGTTTTACAAATTCTCTCGTAACTATCTTTTTCTCGAAAATTTGTAATTATTAGTAGATTGTTGTAAATCTCGGTAACGATATGAAGAAGAATATTAATGAGGCAATCACGAAAGTTTTAATTAAAGATTTCAAATGAAAATCTAATTGAAAGAGTAGCAAGGAAATAAAAGACTAAAAATGTGCGGGGAAATACACGTCACATAGAAGGAATATAATTCAATTGTCTAAGAATCATTATTTCACTTTTGTTTTTACCTTGAGTTTTTAATTATCGCTCATTTTTAACCTTTGAATCCATCACTGGCGTGAATGTTGGAGCGTTTGCAAGAGAGAACGGGACGACCGCGTGTAAACCTTCCGCGTGAAAAGTCTTCTTGGGCTGTAAAATCCAAATCTCTGTCACCAAGTTCTGCCGCGAGAGAGGACGAGTCCGTTCCTTGACGTAGGCCGGAGACACGACGCAGTCTATAAATTGACCGTAGGATTGTGTTGATCGAACGTCCCGATAAAAGAATGACTCGGGACCGATTCGAGACGAAGATTAACGGCGCGCATTAACGAGTTCGGCTGACTGACACTTATTCTAAGAGAAAAGAGCCTGTGTATGAATCGGTAATATAAAATGGAAGGGAAAAAAAAAGATATAATTCTCTGTGATGTATTTCTATGATTTAATTATATGTAATTATGATTATTCTTACGATTATGATTAATTAATATTATTTGCGAGTAAATCGCTGTGCAAGTATCAATTAGTGATTAGTGTAAGATGAAACATAGCGCGATCGAACATTGCATTGCCAAGAGGCGTATCGCGTCCGTATCCTAGATACTGAAACGTGAGAGATCGCACAAATCGTATAATTTATTGCACTACGAACACGATCGTTAATCGCCCCTGTCGAAAGTCGAAATATGGGAATCGCATAACCGGAAAGAAAAACTGTTTCAAATTTCTTTCCGTGGAAGCCGGGAAAGAAAGGGAACGACGTTCAGCAAAATACGTATGATATTTTCGCGTGAGGATAGCTCATTTTATCCGCGTTATTTATTTATAGCCGATGAGCGAGTAACAGTATTACGATCTTCTCAACGAGTATGTATATTTGCTGCAGAAGCGCGAACTTGCAGGAATTATCTGTGTGAATTTCTCCAAGCTAGAAATTCGCAATTATACTCGCTCACTTATCAGCACCCAATATCGCTGTGAAAGATTTAATGATTCGTCAGTAACGCGTGTAATATAATTACACGTATAAATTTTATTGAGAAAAATTCTATGTGTGAGAAGAGAGAAATTAGAATAACGTAAAGTAACTAATCGAGATTTTAAACAGTTAAGTTTCTAATTATCTTATTAATATATTTCTGCTTCCTCCCCCTTTTGCTTGTCTTTAAGAATCAAAAACATGAATTCCCCGAGGAATAAACAGTCTTGTGTATCGATCATTGGTATTAATTATGTACGCTACGTAAGGAAAAGTAAACGGGGATATCAAAAGTGAGGCGTGTCACGACGCTAGAAACGATCGGAGGAGCGATAGGAAAACTAGGTAGTCGTTTAGAGTGCCAGGAAGGAAAAGAAAGAGAGAAAGAGATGAAATGCGAAAGAGAATGCGTCGATTTTTTGCGAGTGAGAGTGCGAGAAAGATTTTCGTCGATTAAGCTCCGTAAAATAATAAGAACGCCGATTGCATCGCGGCGACTCGAGCGAATATCGGAAGTACTCGTTAATATTTGCGACGAGGGACGATCTAATTCGTTCGGGTTGGCGGATAGCGTTAAGAATTATGATTACTATCGTACGAGAAATAGAAGAGAGATATCGGATGCGGCTGGGGGAAAAAAAGCGGAGGTTTCGTGCTGAGGCGACTTAAGGCGTTCGAGAGCTCGAATCGGGAATTCGGAACTTGGAGGCAATCGCCAATATTACACGGGGCGTCCTATGACCCAGGGCGTTCCTTGGAATCGATATTTTCTCGAGGGAAGTTTCAGAGTGAAAGGCTCCCGAGTTATTAGCGATTGAAAATAAGATGCTTTTCGCAAAGTAAGCCTCGGAAGGCGAATAAAGGGGCAGAAGCATGTTCTGCGATTAGTTTAATTTAACGTGTAACATTTTATCATTAGACATTAGAAAATTATGGAGAAGTACGAAAATTGAACTCTCCCGATATTTTGTCTAAACGAAAAATGGATCCTAAATTGGCCAAGAAAACTGTGATTAAAAGGACACTCGATATTTCGGCGACACCCTGTATTGTAGGACTCCTTTCGAGAGAAACATACGTGAAGTGATATATTCGGCTCTTATCTGCTATTTCTATCGATTGATACTTTGCCACGCATAATTATTCTGAGAGAAGAAAACGACTGGTCATTGTACGCGAAAATGTGCGGGCCACACACTTTGATTCGAAATCACGTTTGCGCGATCAGAGTGAACACGAAATTTTTGTTACTTTTGCAGAATCAAGGAATCTCGTATGTCTGATGGAATTTCGCTTATCGTGAAAGTGCATGCCGCGACAATAAAAATAAAATGATTGAGAAATAATTTTTATTCAGCAATTATTTAAGACCTTATTCAAGTAAAATTTTTATCAATGCAAAATATGAGGGTATTACATTTCTCTGTTATTCTTTCTTTATCGATCATAAACACTTTTTAGTTACACGTGTATACACTAAGAATGACATAATGAAATAAATCGGAGAGCGATACACCCGAGTTGTCGCGGCGCATTAATAGCGAACAATAGCGAGATTACCTTAGTCGGGCAAAAGCGAGCGAGAGAGTGGGAGTGTGAGAAAATGCGTTAGATAGAGATACGTAAAAGAGCGAAGTGTCTTAGAGCTAATGGAATTCCTCTGCGCGAATGCACGGAACGCGCTAACACAAGCAGCCACCTCCGAACGAGAAGTCTTCAATACCATTTGCATATTGCTTTATTGTTACATGAACATTATAACGATATATTACATAAAAAAAAGGATGGAATATTACAGGTACAGCGGTACGCATACGATTGAAGAGCGTGAGTTCCACGACGCGATGGCGACGATCGCGCGGACAAGTTTCCGCTGTAGCTTGCGAGGATTTTGTCATTTCGCGCTCGGGATTTTCGAGAACGCGTTTCCACCATCTCCGGCCTGAAGCTCTTTTTCCACGTGATGCAGTTGCGCGTGTAAATTTTGACCCGACTAGAAGTCGACGGTACCGCAGAGAAAGGCACGATAAAAATTTTGTACCATCTGCCCATTCAGCCCACTAAATTAACAAATTTTCCAGGCCAGTGAGATGTATTTTACTTTTTTTTTGTGGTGGAAATAAAATATCTTTTTTCGCTTACTACGATAATTCTGGAGAAAGCTTGAGAATTATCGACTGGGGTTGGATAGTAAATCTGACCTGCGCTAATTATGTCCGACCCGAAAGACTCTTCCGCGCGATCAGAACATACTCGAGACGTCCTGGAACACATACATACTTTAGATACTACGCGTTACGTTTTTGTATTTACGAAGAAAAATCTACGAGATGGGAGACGGACTTGCTTTTCCCTCTTTTCTACTACTTTGTATATTACCAAATAATCGTTAATTAGAAAAGTTATTGTAACTAGCGTTTCGTTATTTTAATCAACAAGATTTTATTAAGCGGAATATGTAACGACGGCGAGCGATCGCTTAACCGTCGTTATCGTAACGATGCGGCCTGATTTACACGTTTCTGTTGTTGCTTTACATGGTTACACCATTTAATTCGCGTGTGTTTGTCAACGAGTGGGAGATCGACGTTTATGACCGATTCTTCCTCCGCCTCATTTACCCTCGCCTATAAGAGAACCTTAGCATTCGATTCGTGTTGCGTAAATAATATTTTTCATAGCTTGAAAAGTCTGCCAGCATTTATTCGACTGATTATAGGTACACGAAGCTACGTTAACAAGGCAAATTTAATAAACGTGATCTCCCGCGGACAATTCTCCCTCTTTAAGGTCTGTGAATCAAGTGGCATCGTTCCTGAATATCTCTCTCATTATACGATAAAGTATAATAAACCTCGCAAATCTGTCGACGTTGGAAAGCAATCGACTGGTTCCTTAGAAGCCAGAGAGCCAAGAGATTGCGCCAAGAGAAGTACAAATCATAAAAAAAAGAGAAAATGGAAAAGAGAAAAAGATGGTAACTGCGAAAAAAAAATCAATCATTCGAAGATGAGATAATGTGACCAATACCGAAAAAGGTGTAATATTTGACTTTAGTTTCATCGCTTTTCATTCATTACCTTTGATTATATTATTGCTTGTAACATTCATTCGAGATACCTTGAATACAAAAAAAAAGTAATAAACCATGTTATCTGCTTGTTTCGTCCCTTGTATAAAACCCTACCTGTGATATACTAATAAAGCAAATTGGATTTCGATACGAGCTACTTTTGTGCGACAATATTCAATGATTGCGATTTATCTCGTTTACGATACGTCTACCGATAATTCATCGAGAAATTCATTATGAGCTTTTTCTATTCTCGCAAAACTAAAGAAAAAGGACTTCCTGCTCATAAGCTTAAAATATAAATTGATAGCAGAAAATTTATATATACTAGAAACATTATACTAATATGTTGATGAAAAAATATATATATAATATAATTTCTAAATATAAATTGTTAAAAGATTATAAAGAGATAGGTAATCTAGAAAAGGGCCCTTCATTATTTTGTAGGAAGAAATGTGAGCGACGCGGCAGGTTATTTCATTGTGATTTTTATTGAAACACTCTTTAGGGTACACAAGCTCTATCCTAGGTAAGCATTAAAGTAAGTATAAAAAAAACTGAACAACTGCTTATGGAATCACAAAGTGTGGATGTCTGCCCTTCTTACAATCATTAAACGTACTTTAACGTGCATACACGAAGGCACAACGATCCTCGACCCTTACGCGCTGAGTATTTCGCCGCGAGAACGATGTTGAAATGATATCGCTGAGCCGATCGTGTAGTTGTATCACAGATCTGCTCGCTTTAGTTGCATCCGCTGCCTCTTTACGCAAAGAAGAACGGCTAAAACGGTCAGGTCTTGCGCTATTCGAAGGCGATCGCTCGCATGGGAGATCTCCATTGACATCCAATGCCCCAGAGGAACTAGAAAAATAATTCTAGCTGCGCGCAAACGCGTGATATCGCTATTACAAGCCCCCCCTCCCCCGCCGTAGGGTTCTTTCGGCGCTCGTCGTCATGGCAAAATTTATACACTCTCCGAGAACATCAACGTACGAAATAAGCGTATTCGCTCGGTACACGCTTACAACACACAGAGTTCTGTCGTAAAGGGGACCGAGTGCCTTCTATACAAATTCATTACGCGATATAATATTCATAATGATAGAATCTATACTTCGTATTATAAATCTAAAAACTTATTGTACACTCGTAATATAGCTAGTTCATTGTAACGAATGTATCCTGATTATTCTCAGCTCGTAATTCTCCTTTTGAAGAAGGCCACTTGTTTCCGATTTTTCTTCCGAAAGAGCTTCCATTCTTACTGATAACTGAAAACTATTTGTCAGTGCTCTCGAGTAAACAATTTAATTATTATACTATGAGCATAATTACAATATCTCGGATAATTGTTGTAATTATTGCGCTTCTTCCGCCGTTGAATGCAGAATGGCATCGTCTCTGTAAGGCCAGTACAACGGCTATCCTCATACTCAGTTATAACAAGGCTCACCTATTCTATTGTTTGCTTAACGTGTATTAAATAATCACAAAAATGAGACCAAGGTCCGAACGCGTCCTTTGGTCGGGACCATCAACCGAGAGGCGGTCTCGCACCTGACTTTCAATGAGAGTTTGTTTGTTATCGTCCATGCGATCGCTGGCGATATTTGTCGATGGCTTCTCTAACATTGGAATGGAAGTAAGTGCAATATATAATTTAACATGTTTCGCCCAACATTAATTTGCTCCTAGCGCACAATATGAACATAGAAATCTAGAAAATTTAACATTATACGAAACATGGAACAACCAAGCGCTCGGATTGCAAACACTTTTCAAACCGTGCTGTTAATTCGATAGAATTTTTATACAAAAGCTCAAGTTTCTCTTGCCGTATTTCAGCAGCGAATAAAATACTTTCAGTCGTCCAATTCGTCTAATCTGATATATCAATTGATATCTTTTTCACATATTTAAAGATTGCCATCGGATATATTCCTTCATGTCGAGGCGATATACAAAGCATGGTAGAAATTTATTTATCTGATCGTAATGTTGAAGCGCCCGATGTACAGATTACGAGCATTCAGTTTATTCTCTCGAATTCAAGTTAGATGTACGATCACAAGTGCAGGTAGGCGGTATTGCATTTTCATAACGTCTACCAATTCTTCGACGATCGCGCGCTAAATGACGGCGATTCGCCATTAAGCTCGACGACGCGAAAGTGAAACGGTAGCGATAACTGTGATAAAGACACTTTGATAATGGAAATATGAAGTAACTTACGCTCAAAATCTTAAACAGTAAAGTAGAGTATAAAGTATGACTTAAGTACAACCATAAAAACTTGGTCATTATTATGGCATTCGTATCCTTAACTACGCGGCTCGCCAGACCGCATCCCTACTGACGGCGCGTCTCTTTATAAAAAGAATCTACTACTCGCGTACGAGGCGATGTCGTCATTTACCCATACGCAAATCGTGTTAGCTTTTCGGACAACGCGCGATTACACATGCGGCATGTAGATTCGACTTTCCTCTTCGCGACTTTCCGATTCCATCTTCCATCGATGGCAAAGAGTAACGGAGGTATGGTCACGTGACAAATCAAGGCCTCTTTATCTTTTGTGTATACGGCGTACGTATTAGAGATTGGAAAATATCGGCATTAATGTAAAAAAGATTTTATCATAACAGCATGGATTTTATATCGATAAACTCCGTGGTATTCGTCAATTCATCAAAAAAAATTGACTCGTACTTTTAATACGTTCGGAATTTCTCGTTTGAAGTTTAATTTTTTTTACATATTTAATAGTTGAAAAAGAAATTCGCTTTGCCAGGAAAATGGTACGTTCTAAGTACTGTCAACATTTGTCCATGTCTAACTAAAAATTGAAGAATCCTTTTCCGCACGTAACGTTAAGATAAAGCGAAACGTGCAAAACAATATTTATAAGCGATATATATTTTTATCTTGGAATAATTTTAATTAACTTGTTAAATCTAAATTTTTCAGGCAGGAAAAAATATTTGTGCGGCCATTATGCATATTCCTGAAGGATTTATGAACGGGTCTGTTCGATATGGAGCAGATTATGTGCGTTATACGTACCGGAAGATCGACCATTGTTACTTGGGATCTTACAAAGTGTCGGCCTCCACTATTTCGCTTGGTCGCGTTTCGATACCGATCTCGATACTCTTTATAACACGGCGTCGCCTTTCTCTACGAGAGCATTCTAGTAATTTGCTTCTCTTTTCGTGACCTGAACATATCCTCTTCCGCTGCGTCGCTATTTTTGATTATTCCACTTATCGTTAATCGACGATCACAGGAAGTACGCCGCGTTGATCAGGCTTTTGGGTCTGTTACACGTGTCGTGTATCTGTGCGAGTAGCATGCTTGTGTGTATGTGTGTACGTGTATAGCGTGTGTATATGCAGTCGTGTCGGACGAGTTTGAATGGCTTTCGCAGCTGCGATATATTAATGCTGAAAGAATGGCGGAATCGCTGGCAGAAATGCATCCCGTCCTTCTATTCTTCTCCCTTGAGCCCCTGTTGCGAATTTTGATTAGTTGAACGAACGACGCCGGAGATCCACGGCTCTTCATCTGAACCGCTCTTTGCCTTCTTCAGCCCTTCGTCGGTCGAATCTGCGAGCAGAATTAAAACAACCGCACATTATACACATTATACACTATGCACAGTATACACAGTATACACTTGAAATATAAATTAACGTAAGTAGAGAAATTAATGCGAAATATTTATAGTGGTAGAGTAAGATTTATTTTAAATATAAAGTCATGTTTTGATCCATTTCTTTTGGAACGCATCATGCAATAATTTTATATTAATTCAATTATTTATTAAGCGATTAATGATGAAAGACGGAGATTTGTGGAACGTAACAAAGCAAACGGTAGTAAAAGTGAAATGGCTTACATAGCCGAAAATTCATTAATCAAACAACAGTCTTTGTCAAGTTAATAATTCAATGTTTATAACTTTATGTTAATAAGAAGTCTTTTAGGTATATTTAAATACATTTTGGCGTATGAGATGCTGCTACGCATTTACTCACTTTATAAAGAATTCTGGCAAGGAGTAACATTTTATTTTTTAATACTTTAATTATGTCACATGTCTCTTGAAATTGTTTTAAAAATCTTGTTTCAAATTATAGATTTTACAGGAATAATCACTTCACTTCTAAATATAGTCTCAGCTGACTTTTAAAAATGTGACTACTGAATCGTCCGGATACTAAGATGTGAAATTTCACTTCAAGTATCTCGCCTAAGATTCACTTTTAAGGTGAGATTCAAGTTACAATTATAAACCGATCTAATAAAAATCTCCAACTTTCAAAATCAAATAACAAAATGCCTTTACCAAAGGTTGTGCAAAAGGTTGTACTTTATATTCCAAAGCAGCGTATTAATTTTTTATAATTAAAACGCAGCAAGATAACTTAATTCCACATCACTCATGCATGATTAGCCATTGACCGATAATTAAGCTGTTCTGGGAAAGTGCACTGAGCATATTACACGCGAATTTGGCTCAGCGCGGCAATTACACGCTTCCCGATAAAATTAGCGGCCTAATTGGGAAAGTAGCGTGATTGCTCACTGTTAAACAACCAGCGAGGCCGAGGGTATTCTATGTTTAGGCCTCGACCGGATACCCCGACGCGTACCAATAATTTGACGTAATTTAATAAACGCGACCCTGCTCTCTCGTCTGCGCGCGCGGGGTCGTGCGACTGTTATTACCGACAGTTTGATCGTATCTCAGTAGTGCGTAATGATGATGCACCTAGTCACTGGCATATAGTAGCGGCTCGATCATCGGTCATGCAAATTGGCGCTACAGAATGCGGCGGATCCCCCTTGCCCGATTTCCCCCGCCTGATGCATCCCAACGCATACCGGTTTAGAAAACAGTATATCGATATTACGCTTACGATCGTTATATTCGTACACCCGTCATTTATTGTACTCGTTAGGTTACTTCTTCGATTCCCCCGATGTTAAATCCATAATGTTCAGAGAGAGAGAAAGAGACAATCACTCACATTAAACAAAAATTTGTTAAAAAGATTTTGCTGCCATAGCTATACATTTCTAAACCACAGAAAACCGTTTGCTGTCGCACCTAATACAATAGGCACAGTAGCAAAATAGTAGCTGTCTATATTTTACAACTGAAATTTAGTTACCACGTGCAGTTTTTAGCTACGGCAGCCACGTATTTCTTTCCATGCTCCCAAGGCTGAAAATCTATTACATGGCGTTGAGTATACAATATATCGACGGATCTCTTTCGCAAGATCGTATCTCGATTTTACGCAATTTTCGGTTTTTGTGCTTCAATTCTAGTCCAGAATGACCGTTTAAGCACAAAAACCAGAAATTGTGTAAAATCGAGATACAACCTTGCGAAAGGGATCAGTCGATGTGTAGATTGAATTTGTCCCGTCAAGATGATACGAAATAACGACGTACCACAGTCATTTTTAATGACAGTATAGATAATGATAGTAGGAAATTAATTAATTTCGTATCATAATATTCGTCAATACAGGAAACGAATTGTTGTATCAGAGCAAAGCCTTTACGTCCAAGCAATCCCCTCTCTTTCTCTCAGATTTATGTTCTCCTGTCGTTTGTTACGTTCAATGTAATACTTATATTTTCTAACTAGGTCGACGTTATAATATACGAATCGAGTATCATTCTAAATGCTTATTAGCCTCTCTTTTCGACGCAAAAGGGGGTCATAAATTCCTCCGAAACGTCGCAACATCTGAGACCGCAAGATATGATAATCATGGTCTCCTTTAAAGGCACACAAACGATGCTGCGCGTTTAAGAAAAAAATCTTCCAGTTAGTAGGTTAATGTCCTCGGGGTCCAACGGGCCGCGCGGACCGACGTTAAACAGCGGGACAACGAAATCGGTACTCTTTCATTACGGAATGAATTTCGTTCAATGTTACTGCCCAAGTATTTAAAGCACCGCCCTAAATCATCGAGACTTAATAATCGGTTTGAAAGCTCGTAATTTTTCGACCGCGGGCGAAAGAGGCCCAGAGTCGACGTTTGCGACGTGTCGGGAAGATGAAAAGATCGGAATGTATGATCCGAAAAAATGTGTAATGGCTTCTGGAAGTTCGATAATTGGGAAATAAAAATATTAGAACGTATCGCGTCTTTTCACGCGAAATTCATTAAATTAAATTCACTTATGAAATCTTCTGTTAAATTAAACCGACAAATAAAAAGCTGATGTACATACATGTCTCTATAATATCCGTAAGTTTAATGCCGGCAGTAAGAGAGATCTATTCGACAGTCAGATATTTCTTAAGAGTCATAGTAAAAAAATGGAATGAACAGAAATTATCCCCTTCATTTGAATTCTTTTGCAAGATGAATAATAATCTGGGATTCTGTTTCTACTTATGAGTTGCAGGAGGATGAACTCAGCGGGGGCACCGGATAAGAGTAGACCAGAGTCCGACGCGTCAGAAAAAGCACAACGAAAGGTACGCGGGCCCGTGTTCGTTTCGAGGCTGAGACTTTCGTCTCGGCTAGCAATTAAGCGCGCCGATAAATCCGCCGCGCGCGAGAGCGAGTGAAAATCCAGCGAGAGAGCCAGCCCGCCCCGTCGTGCAACGAGGTAGCGAGCGTTGTTTATCACTCTCCTCGCCACGTTGCAATTACGCGCGTCGCCGTAAAAGATTTCGCGCATACGCGTGATCGTAAAAAGCGGGGGAGTTTTCGCCAAGGTCCGCCTCTTCTGGCGGCGACGGTGGTGGCCGTCGATTTAATTCGATTTAATTTATAATTGGCCGCGGAGCTCGTTTGCAAGCGATCGGGTATCCCTTTGTCTTGTTCTTGGCGCGACTTGCGGTCGTCTCGCGGCGCCCGCAGACGGCATTTCGCCAATTTTTCTCAACCGAGGATCTGGCGAGCATGCATCGTCTGCGGTATCTGTACCCGGGATCGATTTGAGTAAAGATATAGCCTGGCTGCAAGAGATGCGAGGACTCGCATTGCCATCGCTACCAATGAAATACGATCGAATTGTTGTGCTTGATTTTTCGAATATTTTGCACGTATATTTCAACGCGAAACGCGTGCGGTATCTGTACGCACGTTTTCTCAGTGTGAGACCCGACCGATCTCCCGGAAACTATTTTGATTATTAAAGAACCGCTTCTTCATGTCGAGGCTTTAGCAAGCGCATATAATAAACGATCTTATTTTATTTCACGCGTTGAAATAAGCAGACAAAGTATCAACCCTCTAAAAGTCACTCAGTGGATTATCGCTGAAAACGATGAATAGTCACTGATTTGCAGTTATAAGCATACACCTGATAGTCACAGTAGTATACTTATACAGTACCGGCCAATATTATATCACCTTTCGATTTTTTGAGCATAACTAATTTTAAAGTGCTCGAATGAAAAATTCGAGAATCATGATGTACTTTGTCAACTTTCATTACCCTTCGTGTGCAAGATGTGCCTGGTTATCGGGTGTCTACTGTAAAATTTTGAGCACATTCGGTGCACTTTGACGAAAGTTATTCTCAGAAAACCTAAAGGTGATATACTTTTGGCCGGTACTGTAGCTGTAAATCAGTGACTATTCGCCGTTTTCAGTGATAATTCGCCGATTCATTTTTAGAGAGAACGTGCACAAGAATAGCTTGGCGTTTCGAACATTAAATGTTGTATTGGCTCCAGAGATAATTCCTGAAGGGATCCGACTGTTGCATGTCTTACGGCGAATCCAATTATATTTTTGCCAAGATGACAATGATTAATTGCGCTGAAACGTCTCTCACAGCTGATTATAAAGGTCACCTAGTGAAAGCGCGCGATAATTAATATCGATCGATTACGGGATATCGTTTCGTTAACGATTAACCCGCGCTACGCGTTAAAATTCTCACTGGGGTCGCGCAATATTGGGATCACGATGATGCAAGCGGGGCATGCAACTCGACACCGACATCGCGGCTGCACAGAACTTTCGTTCGCCGATCTTCTGGAGCGAGACGACTTCCATGTAGTGAGATGGATAATCGTGCAGAAACTACGGTCTTCAACTGTGTCTCGTCTTTCCTCACTTGGCCAATCTTCTTGAACGAATAAGAGGAGGGCGGTCCGATCTCACATTTAAATCAGCGTGAAATTTAATTAAATTTCTATTAATCAAGATTATACATTTCTGAAATCTCGTATCACGATTACGTTGCCTGCGCGAGGAAAATGATCGACGTTCTTAAGCATCGTCCGCCTTCGTTTGTACGGAAAGCGAGTTTCTTCGCACGAAATTGTCGTACGGAGCTCCAAGGCGGGCACGTAATCCCCGTTGCGGATATGTCGTCTATTTGCATCACAACGCTGCGGCGAAGGTCGCGGTTAATCGACCGGCGGCGGTTATGCTACTCGCGGCTGGCGCGCACGGCCGCAGCAGACGGGAAAGCTAACGACTGCAATAATTGCAGCCTACCATTTCCGTTTCGAACGAAAGCTCTCTGAGGAGGAGCGTGCACTTCGCCACGCTCGACTTGCGAGCGGCCGCGTCGGGAGCTTGGAAACCCAGTGAACTCATTGTGCACGGCGATTCGAG